ACTCTGATATGATTTTACGCGTATAAATGTACGTACGTACACATTCCGTGCCATTAAAAATCAAAAGCGAACAGTACACACAATAAGTAATTTATTGAGAACAAGGCAATATGCTGGGGCCGCTCGACACAAATGAACAAAACACACACACATATATATGTAAGATACACACTGAGGCCTAAGATAGTCTATCGATACATGTACGATCACTCTATAGACATGCACCAGCCAACTATATGGCTACATACCATATCGGCTCTCGAAGAAGAACACACGAAACAAAACACACAATCCCTCTTTCGCATAGTAACACCTAAAAAAAAAACACGAAAATAAAACTGAAGAAAAACAACAACAACGAAAAACCAAAACAACGAAACGAAACGAAACCAAGCATAAACACAGAGAAAAAGCGTGGTCGAGCAATAAAAAATCCAAACAGAAAAACGTACCATCGCACCGAACACAAGCATAAACACACACAAACACATACACACACACATCAACTCACAAACGAACACTGGGAGACTTCAGATGAAGCGAAGCAAAACATCGAGTGTAAATACAGTGAGCGACAAGAATAGAAGAAAAAAACAGCAACAGAAGAAAAAGAAGATGAAAAAGACGAAGAAATGAAAGACGAAAAAAAAAATCAAGAAAAAACGCATCTGATTTGAGTCTCTCAGTCAGGCAGGGGGAAACCGTGTATTTGCGCCGTATATAATAAATGCGCCATGAACAATAAACACGAGATAGATAAGAAATATTTTGAAAACAATAAATTCATGAGCACATACCGACTATAAAAAAAATTATCAACGGAAATTATTACGAGCTTGAAATTCAACGACGACGACGATGACAGAGACGACAGCGTTGAGGAGAGAGAAAAGAATGAAAAATGAGCATTTGATATTTACGCTTAAGGAACGAGCTTAAAAATAAACATAATCGACCCAGAACCAAACCACTACACTCCGTAATGTACCGAAAATGAATTGAGCGCGAGCGCAAAACGAAACAGAAAACCATCTTCTTCTTCTTCTTCATTTTTGTTTGCAATTCATCTTCGACGAAATATGGTTACACAAGTCGAGCAATATCAAATGCTCGAAAATAATTTTTTTTTGTGACAACAATTCGAGGAAAGAAATTATCGAATGAAATATTGGTATCGTATATGCAAGATATGTCTACATATATTGACGTAGCGCGCAAAAAAGAAAAGAAAAAACAAACAGAGTCTAATTCGATGTGTATTAAAAATACACACAGCACATTCGGCTCGTGTAGCCCACACTATGCCGAATCTACACGGAGACATGCGCAGTGCGCCATTGGACGCAACAGCAGTAGCGGCAGTGACGACAACGACGACGACGACGACGACGACGACGACAACGACGACGACGACGACAACGACGACGACGACGACAGCAGCAACAGCGCCCTGCCAGCAGCGACAATAACAAAACACACCAAATCAAAACAAGAAAAACATCGTTAGTCATTGCTCTACATCTCATCATCTTCCTCCTTTTTTTTTTGTATTACTACAAACCCACTCATACTTGCAGCCCGTACAACGCGTATCTTTGCAAGTGGTTGTGCCTGTGTGTGTGCATGCGTGTTTCTGTGTGCACGAAGAATGGCCCGTCTTTGCGATGCGCGCTCAAAACACAACACACTTGTGTTTGTGACGACGACTCGAATGCGCGCAATCTACATAGATTCCACATAGGAAGTGGAATACACACAGGCATCAGGGTTTGTTTAATACGCGATGCGACGCTTTCAAAGTGACTCGCCCTTATTTACATGAACAAAATCCAGGCTTAGTGGTATAAACATGGAACATTTTGTGTTTGTTTGAGAAAATTCCGTAAATTTGTCATTTTGTAAGGAAATTTAGATAGACTCTGGTTGCCCTTTAAAAAATGAAACCAGAATTTTCATTCATAAAGTCCAACAGTAGTTTTTCATGCAAAGAGATTCAAATTCAATCTCGTCAGTGAGTTGGTTTTTCTTTCTTTAGAGCAATAAAAATAGGAGTTCAGAATAAAAAATCAAAAATATTTAGCAAAAAATCTTCTTAAAAATCGAATATGTCTGGCTTGTTCAAGCAAATCAAAGTTTCGATCAAAATCAATGAGCTTCGCTGACGGAAACAGTCCCTGTCACAGATACTATTGAGCCAATACAGATGAATGAAAATTGATGGTGTGTATATGGCAATAGGTTTTTTTTTTTTATTTATGTTGTTCTTCTGGTACGATGTGGCGCTATTGACTGGTTTACGCGCGCTCAAGCATCGTTCGTTCGATTCGGTTGTTGTTGTGCATGTGTCGGTGCGTGCGTGCGGATTTTCAATGAAACGGATGAGAGAGAGAAAAAAAAGTACAAATGGCTTGAGCATTTCCACCCAGTCGACTAGTAACCGTTGAAGCAGAAGGTTGTGTATTTTTGCTGCTCTGCTTACAAGACACACACACACACACTTAGACACATACATACACACACGACGCAAACATACACACAGACATAACAGAAATAAAACGCCTCACTGTGTATATGTGTCACGAACAACAAGAATCGACGACATACCATAATATTTTGAATAACAATTTCTGCAAAAGTAGTAAAATTGGAGAACGGAGAACAGAAACAGCGCGTAATAAAAATAAACGGACCGATTTAAACGATTGACAATTAAAAAGGAACGAACAAATTATTGTCCGGCGATACCAAAAAAAAAAAAAAGAGTCAACAACAGTAAAAGAAGAAGAAGTTGTAGCAGCAGTAAGGAGAAAAAACAACAACAACAACAGCAACACAACACACCAAATTGATTATTCGGACGGAAATTGTGTGCATGTGAGTGTGAAAGAGAGCGACAGGCATTTCGTTTACAAAGGAAAAACACGAATATCGAAAAAGAAACAAGACGCAACACTTCGCTCGTACTTCGGACGACATAAATAGAGTATATATACATACAGTACACAGCAGAGTGTGCTTTCGTGAGAAAAGTCTCAGAGTGTGAGAGATAAAGACGAGAGAGAGAAATAATACATAAAAAGACGAGTCGAGTGTATATATACTGTGAACTGAATTATAACCCAATACATAATAACATAAAACGGCCATAATACGTTGATCGTCATCACATTGATATACATAAAATATTGGGTTTTTTTTTTAAGTGGAAGCAGGTTCGTTGAACATTATTCGAAAATATTGTGAGTGGAATATACATATGCACGGAGTTCTCATTGTCTCATCAGCAGCTCTCTCAGTGTGTATTGAAAACATAGAAAAAGAAAAAAAAAAACTGGAAGCTGTCTTGAACACGCCACAAGAAAAGGTGGAAAAAAGAGTGTAGAAAACTAAAGATAGACTCACAACAATAACACATCAATAACAATTGCGAGTAACGAGACGAAGAAGAGATCCGTTGTGAAATATAAAAATAAACGCAGCAACGCATATAGCTCGGGTAAATACGTGCGTGCGCGCGCGCGTTCATCACATAATTTTTACAAACACAGACACACACATCGTCTAAGAAAGTTTACCAACCGACCGACTTATCGATTCGGGCTGCAAGGCAAATTACAATTCCGTTTGCTTGCTCTGCATATTTACGCATTTAAAACGAAGCGATTTAATAAGAAGAGAGAGAGAGAGAGAGAGAGAGAGAAAAAAAGAAACTAAGTAAACAGTGACGATTGATTCTTTCCTTGTGACTGTTGCTGTGTCACCAAATCGCATTTAAAACACAAAATACAGAAAGAAAAAGAAGAAATCAAATCCGACGACACGGTGTGTAATCTCCGAAAAGAAAGAAAACAATAGCAAACCAAATATATACACCGCCTGCCCGTCGCGTCGATTACAAAATCTCCGATCATCCTCACCGTTTCATACATAATACATTGAAAACATTGCATATAGTTCCGTGTTCAAATCGAAAATCAATATTGAAGTTGCCGGTTTGTTGTATTGAAAATACGAGCGTATCGTGTGAGCCCGAGTAATTTACCGTAGTGACGTGAGTGCGCAAAGTTCAATCGAAAGTTCGAGAGAGAGAGAGAGAGAGAGAGAGAGAGAAAAAGACACGGACACAGAAACGTGAAAAGAAACAGACATTCGGGTTGGTTTTATTGAATATACAAACAAGTAAAACAAAAACACACCGAAATTCAACTGAAAATCCAAGTGGAGAGAATTGACCAATTGAATTTTTTGTTTTTTAGCGGAGCTAACGTTTTCTGTATGTGTTTAGTTTTGTGTAGACGACGACAACGACAACCGTAACAAATACACTAATACACAAACAACGCCGCTAGCAACAACAGCCCATTGAATAGTGAATGAGAAAAGAAGAGACAGCGAAGGGAAAAAAAGAGCGGCTGGAAAATAAACAAAACAACAACAATAACACAATACATAGGCAACAAATAACAACAACAGAGGAAAATTTAAGAAAAAAAAAAACTGTATTACGTTAATAAATACGCATTGCCGCTTGCAAGACAACAACAGGGACGTACCGAGCAACGGACAAACAACACTCTACTTAATCGTCGTTGATAATACATACACCGTACCAAAAAAGTGATATTTCTACTGTGAATTTAGTTCTGTTAGATTATTATTATTTAATTGAGTTTAACACAAACACAAATCAATTTTTTTTTTCCGTGAGAGAGATATAGAATATCAATTCGATTTCTTTTTCCAATTTAATTTTAGTTTAGAAGCCAACCAGTTTAGTAACAAAAAAAAAAGAAGTTTAAGCATTCAACTAAAAGTAATAAAACAAAAGAAAAAAAAAATCATAGAAAAAGAAATAAGTTAACGGAAATAGTGGTTATCAAATTGTAAAGAAAAGAGAAGAAAAAAATAATAAGAAGAACAACAAAATATCAAATTGAATAAAATCAGTGAGTGATATTTGAAACGGTCGAACAGAACCAGCATAAATAAAAGCGAATAAAGAAACAAGTTGCGTTTCCGGTTTGAATATACACACTTCATTGGAACGTCACACACATCATCATCAAGTCGCGTTTATCAAAGGCATCACGCGCTCTCTCGCAACCTCAACCACAAATACGAATCAATCGACAAACTCGACGACATCAGCAGCAGCAACAGCAGCATCAGCTTACTTTTGTGTGTACAAGCAAGCGACAAAATTATTTCGTTAAATAGCTGCGTTGACATTTCGAGTGTGATCGAAATCGAGACGACGACTACGGCGACGACGACGACCACATCGACCATCGGTGTTAGCATCAAAATGCCCAGTAAACAGGCGAACGACGTGCTAGCCATGGAAGAATTAGTACATGAAATCAAAGAAAATTTACGTTTAAAAGCAAATCCATCGCGAACGAATCGAAGTTCACGACCATCGCCATATCACATACCGTGCCGTTCATGGAGCGGTGAACCAACCACAGCCACCACCTGCGATCATACCACCACAAAAACCGGCAAACAAAATAGTAATAGCACCGTACACAATAGTAAAAAGAATAACGATGTAGACGATCCGTATGAGCTGCTGCAGGCCCTATTAAAAAGTAATAATCTAGTGAAAGAGGCGGTACGGCGATTGCAGATCAACAATATCTCGCCGAAACAACGATACTTCTACGAAAGTGATGAGGATAGTCGATCGCCCATGATTCGAATGTGTCAATTGGAATTGTAAAATGGACCCATTGCGCGAACATTCAATACAAGCGCACCACACTATTCTCTCTATATTCATTTCTAAAACAAATAGAAAACAAAAGAAGAAAGAAAAAACAACTAGAAAACACGCCGAAAATCAATTGCAACATTTCAAATCTAAAAACGATCGTTCCTGTGAACCAAGCATCTCAAGAGTGAGAGAGAGAGAGAGAGAGAGAGAGAGAGAGAGAGAGAGAGAGAGAGCGAGAGAGAGAAAGAGACAAAAACAGAGAGCTCGAGTATAGAGACATTTGAATATTGGAGATGCCAGCACGATGGATTTTTGCTTCTTCGCCTCCGTTTCAAGCAGTTTTTTTTTATGTGTTTCAACGAGGCGAACGCTTACACACCAAAAACTATTTTTATTCAGTGTTCGCCGTGCAAGATAGACAATGTCAAGCGACACACAACGACTACAATGACAACAACGGAAAACATTCAAGTTGTTGATGTTGATGAATAGTCCGCTGTAACCTGAATACTGGTTCGATTTATTACGTTCGCTTCGATGTGTTTGAGCGGCGTAAGACTGGTTCTTTTTTTGATCGTGTACGAATTCGATTGGTGTAGCCGTGTACCAGACAATTGACCATTATTTCACCTAAGAGGTGAAAATGATTCACAACCCGGCATCGATGTAAAGTACAACGATTTATTCCGACGATTATTTCAACCGGCACGAATAAAATTCAGCGAAATTTCATGTCGCCGAACAGCAGTATAGTAGCAACAAAAATCAACCGGAGAGTATTTCATCGACTGCACAGATGATGGTGATTTGGAATCCGTAAACAGATCCTCAACAATAAAACAGGCATATTTGAAAAAAAATCACAAACACACACACACATTTTACATTTAAAATCAAAATAATTTGTGTAGAGAATCTTTTTTTCTAACAACAACATTTTTTTTCTTGCTTGTTTTAATTATTTTTATTTTTGTTCCTTTTAAAATCGCTTTAATGCGTTCCATTTTCCACGTACACAAATTAGTGGACAAAAAAGCATACAAAAAAGAGTGTATTTAAAGAAAGAAAAAAATTATCACTTATTGCGATGAATTGTAAATTATGTTAAACAAATACAAACCCTAGATAAGAGATTGGCAAGATAGAAAAACATAAAACAAAAATCCAACAAACAATGGCGATTCGGTCGATATATATATAGAAATGAACAGTATCTGTCATTGAAGTCATAGTCACACATTTAGATTTTGTTTTAAAGATAATTCAAACTGCGATTGCCTCGTTGTTTTCTTAGATAAAAAAAAAATGAATAACTAAATAGCACACACACACACATACACCGTGACAAATTTGTAGAAAGTGTGACACAGCAGTTGAATAGAATCAAAAATAAAATAAAATAATGAAACAGGTCAGACTGCCCATTGCACTTGGCGATAGAAATACTATATACCTGCACACCACCTGGTTTCCCTCTCTACTATTTTTTTTTTTTAGATATCCTTCTTGATATCGCCTCCCCCGTGCAATGGTGTGTTTCCAACTGCAAAATACTGGCGCTTTAGTTCAACTTTTGCGGCTCAAATTTCAATGTTGAACATCGTTTTAATTCCTATTTAACCGAAAGAAACAATATGTAACTTGAAAGAGACACATGTTCTGCTGAAATGAAACAACAAAATAATAGCACTTTGCACATAAGAAAAGAAAGAAAGAGGAAAAAAACAAAACAATACGTTAAAAAAAAAATGATAACACAATTTAGGAATTAACGGTATACGAAAATGAAGAAGAAGAAAAGAAAACAACTACATTTTTAACAAATTGTAAAATCTCATAGAATTTATGTGACACAATAATTACAATGACGTAAACACATTGAATTGAACAAATAGGAAATCTAAATGAAGAAATTTTACCAAAAACAAAAAAAACAACAACAAAAACACAATAAATGAAGAAAAAAAAAACCAAACTGGTAACATTTTTTTTTTTTGATTTAACAACAATTACCACTGATTGATTTTTGGCCTCTCTTGCTTTTTGGCCTGTATCTCTTAATATCTGTAATTCCAGAACTTTCTTCATTTGAAACGAACATTTGCGAGTGAATTGCGATACAAAAAAAAAAAACCATTCGAAGAACGTCATACGCTTGTAAATGTTCACCGAAAAATTTAACATAAAAAAGTCGAGCATCAACGAACTCACAGCAAATGAAAAACATTGACAAACTACCGCATTGCTCTCTATCTTTCGCCAATGGCAATGAACTCTTTCACTCTACGCTGACCACCTTTTTACTTTTCTTTCCATTTCATTCTTTCTCTCTGTTACCATTGGCGCTTATTTCTCACTCTTCACTTGCTGCTGATTTGCATTTTAAAAAACGGTTGAATCAACGCCGTTCAACATCATGAGTCACGAATGTTTTGGACACGAAAAAAAAAAAACACACACACACACACACATTTCGCTTGGCCGCCTTATTTTTGCAGATCACACACACACACACACCCATTCCAAAGAGAATGCAGATTTCTAGATGGCATCAAATGTAAGCAAACAAAACTAAAACGTTTTCTTTTCTTGACTCAAAAAAAAAAAAAAAAACACAGAGAAGATGCATCCAATAGACGAATGGCTTATCTCTTTCGAAAAATCGACTCGAAAAATACATTCGATAGAAAATTGAATGGATGAACGGATTTCATTGAAAAACTGCTGTTAGCTTGAAAAGCATCCAAAAATCCAAAGCAACAAAAAACATAGCAGCAGCAAGAATTGCATTTTTTGCTCGGTTAGTCTCACTATAAAAAAGCTTAGTTTGAAAAGCCAGAGAGAAATTGATTCATTTGCACACGAAATGGAATGCGATAGTGCGATTACGACAATTGCGATTGGATCGCAAGGTCTAGGGAAAATTCGACATTGAATAACGAAAACAACAATAACAACGCCATGATATTAAACACACACACACACACACACACACACACATTCCCAATGCGAGAGAATTCCATTTTCGTGTGGAAGTGTGATTCGATAATACACAGCTATTCGGCTACAACCGAAACTATGCGATGGAAAAAAAATACAAAGAGAGCGCGCACACAGTGTGATAGCTAGAGTTCGTGTAAATTAAATCATCATGATTGTTTGAAGGAATTTAAATGGTTTTTTTTTTGTTTCATTGAAGAAGAAGAAGAAGGAAAATCGCTTTGATACCGAAAATGATATGTGTATCCCGTTGGCTTAGATAACAAAACGGCAACTGTAACGGGGCAACGCATACAGCACAACACGCGTATACGCTCGCTTCCAATCGCATTATGAATCATTTGGACTAACCTCGAATTCCGTTAAATTGAATCACATTCAAAATAATTTCGATGTGTGTTTGTTTCTTCGGTGTTGTTTTTGTCGCTCGTCCATTTCGACCGTTTTCTCTTCGCATAACATCCAATGGTCTATGTAACGTGTGTTTACCACACAAAAACATCATGCAACTTTGAATGGTGAATGAGGACAGATAAAGCAAAATGTAAATATGAAAAGCACTAAAGATTTTAAGCAAACAAAATACGGTGTGTATGTGTGTGTATGATCTCATCAAAGCGTTGGTTTTTAAATGTCTCTTTTAAATCGACATGAACCGAAGAGGAGAAGAAAAAAAAAAACAACAATGTTTCTCTTATTTTATGTAAATATGTGCGTACAGCATCATTTTGTTGCTGGCTACAAAAGACGTCGTAGACGACGGCCACATCTGTGCACTCCATTAGTAAAGTCGTACGATACGTACTGTATTAACGCCATATAAAATGACGGTCAATCAATAATTGTTGTACAAAAGAAACGACACTCACAGCGAGAGAGATGGAGAGAAAGAGATAGAAAATTGTTTTGATAATAGTTTGGCATACAACGGTGCCTATTCAAATCAAAACCATCAATGCCGATAGAGAGCATGTCATTGTGTATGGTGTGCTGGTCTCGTGATTGATATCGAATGTATGAATATAAGCAACATTGTCGTTGTCGTTGTTCATTCGAAATCATCTAATCTTTTGATTATCATCAAAGTGCCACTTTTGTAGCACACGGATAGTTTGTCACGCACTCGCGAACTGACCCCACACCATATAACAAATGATAACATTGTTGGCCAGCATTTTATGCCACGCACAAAACTGTATTTGTATTTGTTTGATTTGTGAATTGAATTGATGCTGGTTTCGTGAGTGTTTGTGTGTGTGTGTGTGACACACAGTGTGTCATCTTTTTTCCAACACCACATTCAGTTGCTATCAAAATGGAGAGACAGGAATAACTCGACTATGGACACAAATATAGATGATTAAATTAGCAAATATGATTTAAACTTTTTTTGGAAATCCCAATGCAAATGCAAAGATCACAATGATCACTTGACAATCGTGCTCGATATCGATACGACACCGTAACATTTATACATATATATGGTCACAAACAAAAGAGATTTCATTGAATTATTCATTTCCGAAAAAAAAGTAGAAGAAGAAGAGGCAAAACTAAACCGCATATTTTCCAATTCGATTAACGTTGAAAAACCTGACTCAAAACTGTCGCCAAGCCAACATCATGCAATAAACTCTGACACAAATAAACGAAACAACCACTAAGCTTTAGAATATTTATATTCTCTTAAACATTTCTGTTTCGATGTTTTGTATTCGTTCGGTTCCTTAGATATATATATAAATGATAATGAAAGAGGAATTTCATGTTTCAATCAATTCTGAGTGTGTTTTGATGCGAGAGTAGATTTAATGTTGTAGCTAGGAACATCTTTTTTCAATTCTAATACCAAATAAAATACCATCACCGATGACGATGAACTGTTGTTGTTGTGTGTGTGTGTGAAATATTGTTGTTGCACATGACGATAAATGGACAAAATGGATTTTAAATCCAATCTTAATGGAAGATACAAATTTTGAAATGAATCGATCGATAATAATCGTCATCTAGATCGTTATGAGAAATACAATTTGAAATGAAAAGTCGGCGAAAATTGCCGTTTTATGAAATGAAGAATGTCAGTTGTGGTAGAAGAAAACTCCCCCCAAAAAAACCGATTCAAAAACACATAGAGAATA